TACGAGCTCCACTCGCTTGACTTCAGTACAGCCTTCCTCCAGGGCAGCCTGCACGAGGAGATCTGGCTGCGCCGCCCACCAGGCTTCACTGGGTCGTTTCCTGCTGGTACCCAGTGGAGCCTCCGGCAGCCAGTCTACGGTCTCCGTCAGGCACCCCGTGAGTGGCACGACACACTCAGGACGACTCTTGCTGCTCTTGGCTTTGCTCCTTCCACTTCTGACCCTTCTCTGTTTTTACGCACTGACACTACTCTGCCGCCGTTCTATGTTCTTGTGTACGTAGACGACCTCGTCTTTGCTACTGCTGACACTGAGGCACTCGCCCACGTGAAGTCCGAGCTGCAGAAGAGACACACGTGCACAGACCTGGGTGAGCTGACAAGCTATCTTGGCTTGCGGATCACCCGGGACAGAGCATAGCGCACCATTACCTTGACTCAGTCACACATGGTGCAGCAGGTCCTTCAGCGCTTCGGCTTCACCTACTCCTCGCCACAGTCCACTCCTCTGCCTACCGGTCACTCGCTCTCAGCTCCACCTTCGGACGAGTCCGTAGAGCCGAGTGGCCCGTATCCAGAGCTTGTGGGCTGCCTCATGTACCTGATGACTTGCACACGACCTGACCTCGCATACCCTCTCAGCCTTCTGGCTCGCTACGTGGCTCCCGGCAGGCACCGAAAGGTGCACTGGGATGCTGCGAAGAGGGTGTTGCGATACCTGTGCAAGAAGGTGTACATCGGGCATGGGGCTCGTGCTTGGAGGACGGGATCGAGCTGTCCTCACTGGTCACGCTGACGCCTCCTGGGTTGACGATTTGGCTACGCAGCGGTCGTCACAGGGTTACACCTTCAGTCTTGGCTCCGGTTCTGTCTCTTGGCGGTCTACCCGTTCTTCTTCTGTTCTCAGCTCCAGTTATGAGGCTGAGATCTACGCTGGGGCCATGGCTGCACAGGAGCTACGCTGGCTCACCTACCTGCTGACTGACTTGGGAGAGGCGCCTCGTTCTCCTCCAGTTCTGTACGTCGACAACAAGGCCATGCTGGCCTTGTGTCAGGAGCACAGACTGGAGCACAGAACGAAGCACATTGCTCTGCGCTACTTCCTTGCTCGAGAGTTGCAGCAGCGTGGCCAGCTTCGTCTTGCTTACGTGGCCTCTCAGGCCAACACTGCTGATGTTTTCACCAAGGCACTTCAGCCTTGTGATCATCAGCGTTTCTGCACTGTTCTAGGCCTTGTACCTACTGTGCCTCACTTATTGACTTCTTGACTCTGCTTGTACTGTACTCTATATACTTATACCTGCATGCTTACACTTGCTAGGTTGTGTTCACTGTATTGTTTGCTTTCCTTTATATAACTCTGCATGTGAACTGGCCTTGTGGCCCTTTGCTTGTGCTCAGAGTGCGTGGTGACTTTGTGATCCACCCTGAGCTTGCTTTGCCTTCTTGACTGGTCTTGTGACCCCTTGTTCTCCCCCACTTTGCCTATGGGGGTGTGTCAAACTTATATATGCTATAGTCTGTTTAGGCTGTAGTGGGGTAGCTCTTATAGGGTACAACACTTTTAGGTTTCCTACTTGTACCCACCTGCTTCCTAGTTCATTCATTCCTCATGATTCTCACAAAGGTCAGTCCAAGAGGTTACATAGGATATATAGGTGCGAGTACAAGCAGAGCAAGGCTATGGCAGACGAGCAAAAAGGTCAACAAGCCACCGCCTCACCCTCCCCCCACAGTGGCACGCGCGGCTGTGAGAGAGAGAGGAGGAGGGGCGGCTGCTGGCTCCTCATACCCGCCACCCCCATACCCTCCAAGATCCCGCCACCCCATACCCCCCAAGATCCCGCCACCCCCATACCCCCCCCCCACTGCTGCACCCGCAGCAGGGGGATGGAGGAGAAGGGAGGGCGGGGGGGGGGGGGGGGGGGCTGGTGCTGCAGATCCCCTCCCCCCCACTGCTGCACTCGCAGCAGGGGAATGGAGGAGAAGGGGGGGGGGGGGGGGGAGGGGGGGGTGGTGCTGCAGATCCATTCCTGCCACCCCCTTACCCACCAAGATCCCGCCACCCCCATACCCCCCCCCCCATTGCTGCACCCACAGCAGGGGGATGGAGGAGAAGGGGGGGGGGGGCGGGGGGGGTTGGAGGGGGGTGCGAGGGGCACTCACGAGGGGGTGCAAGGGGCACTCAGATACCCTCCTCCCACTGCTGCACCCGCAGCAGGGGGATGGAGGAGAAGGGGGGGGGGCGGTGTAGAAGCTTCTCGGGCAACAGCAGGGCGCGCGACGGGCAGGAACCCGTCATTCGCCACCCCCGCCACCCCCATACCCTCCCCCCCCCTGCTGTACGATCAGCAGGGGAGAAGGGGGGAGGGGGGCGGGGGGGGGGGGGGGGGGGGGCGGTGCAGGGGCTGCGTGGGCGACCGCAGGTCACACGAAAAACATCCGCCACCCCCTCACACCCTCTCCCCCACTCCCCCCACAGAAGCAGGCGCAGCCATGAGAGGGGAGGAGGCGTGGCAGCAGCTGCTGCTGCTGAGGCACATCCGCCACCCCCTCACACCCTCTCCCCGCAGCAGCGGACGCGGCCGTGAGAGAGGAGGAGGCGTGGCGGCAGCTGCTGCTGCTGAGGCACATCCGCCACCCCCTCACACTCTCTCCCCACTTCCCCATGGGAGGGGGGGGGGGGGGGGCGGGGGCGGGGAATGAGCTGCGCGTGCGATTGCAGGGCGTGCGGGCAGGAAGAAACCGTCGCGCGCTCGAGGCGTGCGACGGGTAGAAATCGACGGGCTAGGGGCCGGGGCCTAGGGGCGTCGAGCGACGGGGCCGGGCCTAAGGGAGCGACGGGCGACGGGGCCGACGAGCCTAGGGGCGTTGGGAGACGGGCCGGGCCTAGGGGAGACGGGCCGTGGCAACAGGCCTAGGGGCGACGGGGCGGGGCGACTGGCCGAGGGGCAACGGGCGACGGGCGACTGGCCGGGGCCGGGGCATAGGGGCGACGGGCCGAGGGGCGACGGGCTAGGGGCCGGGGCCTAGGGGCTTCGGGCGCGAGTGACGGGCGACGGGGCCGGAGCCTAGGGGCGACGGGCCGTGGCGACAGGCCTAGGGGCGACGGGCCAGGGCTGAGAGCTAGGGGCGACGGGCGCGGGGCGACGGGCCGGGGCCTAGGGGCTACGGGCGACGGGCCGTGCCGAACGTCGAGATTAGGGTCGCACGAGGGCGGCGCGCAGGGCAGCAGGTGGTTGGCCCAAGGGTCGTAACTACTCTAATACCATGTCGAGATAGGTAGCTTAGTAGGAAGGAATGAGTTGGGTTAGGGCAAGGAGGGGGGATACAATAAAGTGTTGAGCAATTTACTGTACCCCCTAAGGCTAAACCCACTACAGCCTAGATAGCAGTAAACTTATAATTTGACATCCTGCAGCTCCTTGCTCCTAAACTCCGCTGCGCCGTCAGATTGCCAGATTTTCAGCTTCTCCCCAGATTGCCGCTGCGCGTGTGCCAACCAGAGGCGGAAAACTTCGTACGCTCTATTGCGCGCCTCCACGTTCACGATCCAGACGTAGCGCGTTCCTGCGTCGACGAAGGTGAGCGTATACACCTCACCGTTGATTCCGCAGTGCCCCACGTTGAGGAAGTCGCTGTACACCTTGCGCAGCTTGGGGTAGCGATTGGTTCCAGGTTCGAGCAGTGGGAATGGATGGTGACTCAACGCAACTTCGGGGCAGACGGTGCAGCTGCACGGATGTGTCACGCCTCTCACTTTGGTGCCATCAGGGCGCAGGAGTGCACCAGGTGCAAATACGCCAGCTTCGACGCAACTCTTTAGCGTTACGTGCGAGGGGTGACCGAGGCGCTGGTGCCAGAGTGCATCGTCTGCGCGGAATCCAGAGGTGTGCATGCAGGGTGCGCGGACTGCTTCGGGATCTTCTTCTAGTACTGGGGCGGCTTCTGGTGCTGCTGCGTCAGCTGCTTCTTCTTCTTCGTCATCGTTCACCATGGTTAGCATCAGCGCCAAAAACTCCCTGTCGCGAATGACGGAGTAGGAGATATTGTGTCTGAATATATTATATATATATTTCTATATAACTGCATATAGTTATAGCTGTAGTGTAGTTACTGTTTTAGTCCCTGTAGGTGATGCAACCTTTGCCATCTCTTGCTCCTATATCTTGTACCTTTTTCTCTTAGTGCATCACTTCTTCCTTGCTATCTCAACTCTCTCGACACTTGCCTAGCCCCCACCCTAGCTATGGCTCATACTATTCTAACATGGTATTAAGAGCTGGTTCTAACCTGAGGACCTCCTCTCTTTGGGCCCACCACCTGCTGCCCTACGTGCCACCCTCGTGTGGCCCTTCTCTCGACATTAGGCCCCGGCCCGTCGCCCCTAGGCCTCGGTCCCGGCCCGTCGCCCGTCGCGCGTAGCCCCTAGGCCCATCGCCCTTAGGTTCCGCCCCCCCGGCCCGTCGCTCGCGCCCGTCGCTCCCCTAGGCACGGCCCTACGCCCCGCGGCCCCCCGTCGACCAAGGCCCCTCGGCCCCGTCGCTCGCGCCCGACGCCCCTAGGCCCTGGTTCCGGCCCGTCGCCCGTCGCGCCCGCCGCCCCTAGGCCCGTCGACTCTGTTACCCCTAGGACCCGGCCCCGTCGCCCCTAGGCCCGTCGCTCCTCGGCCCCGTCTCCCCTAGGCCCAGCCCGTCACCCATCGCCCCTAGACCCACCAGCGAGTTCGCGAATGCCAGCAACCGCTGCCCATCGCCAGCCCCGTCGCCCGCGGCCCAGTCGCCCGCGGACTCGTCGCCCAAGGCGCCGTCGCCTCCGGCTCTGTCTCCCGCAGCCACGTCGCCCGAGGACCTGTCGCCCGCGGCCTCGTCGCCCCTTGCCTCGTCGCCCGAGGAACTGCCCCCCCCAACTTCGTTCTCCCTCTCCCTGCTGCGCGTGCAGCAGAAAAGGAGGGGGGGGGGGGGGGGGGGTGGGGAGGGAAGGGTGTTGGGGGCACGGATCATGGAGGGTGAGGGGGTGGCAAGAGGGGTGCGGTTCCGGGGGGTGGCTGACCTAGGGGGTGGCAGGAGGGGTTTCTGCAACACCAGCCACCCACCACCTCCTCCTCTCTCTCTCCCTGCCGCACCTTGTGTTGGGAGGGGGGGGCGGAGCTTGGAGGTTAAGGGGGTGGCGGGGAGGGGATCTGCAGCACCAGCCCCCCCCCCCCCCCCCCCCTTCTCCTCCATCCCTCTGCTGCGGGTGCAGCAGTGGGGGAGGGGATCTGCAGCACCAGCCCCCCCCCCCTTTCTCCTCCATCCCCCTGCTGTGGGTGCAGCAGTGGGGGGGAGGGGATCTGCAGCACCAGCCCCCCCCCCCCCCCCCCCCCCCCCCCCGCCCCCCACTTCTCCTCCATCCCCCTGCTGCGGGTGCAGCAGTGGGGGGGAGGGGATCTGCAACCCTGTGCGCCCCGCGCGCCCTGCTGTCCTGCTGCCCTGCGCGCCCTGCGCGCCACGCGCGCCCTGCTGTCCTGTGCGCCCCGCGCGCCCTGCAGCCCTGTGCGCCCCGCGCGCCCTGCTGCCCTGCAGCCCTGTTCGCCCCGCGCGCCCCGCGGCCCTGCAGCCCTGTGCGCCCCGCGTGCCCTGCTGCCCTGCTGCCCTGTGCTCCCCGCGCGCCCTGCTGCCCTGCAGCCCTGTGCGCCCCGCGCGCCCTGCTGCCCTAGGGATAGTGCGGACAAGGACAAAGGTTGGCTCGCGCGGCTCGGGGTCAGGCCCGTAAACGGTGCGCCACGGGGTAGAGGGCTCGTTGCCCCAGTCGATGGTGTCCCAAGGGTCGCAGTGTGGGTGGATGTCAGGTGGGGGTAGTGCAGGTGCAGGGCGGCGTGGAGGGCAACCAAGAGGAACATCAGGAGGTTCCGCTTCTTCTTCTTCTCCCCCCCTTTGGTCCTCGCGGGAAGCTCCCCAGCCTTCACCAGAAGTGCCCCAGCCGCTTGTCTCGCCGCCAGATGCGGCGCCCCATCCGCTAGTGTTGCCACCGGTATCGGTTCCCCATCCGCCAGTGTCACTTGTTCCCCATCCGCCGGCGCTTCCCCATCCCCCTTCATTGGAGGCGCTCTCCTCTTCTTTCCATCCGCTCCAGGCAAATGTTCCGCGCGACTCTGCAAGGCTCCATTGGCGAAGCTCTTCTGCTTCGCGGCGCACCAGTTCTTCTTCTTTCGCCATGGTGAGCTTCACCGTGGGGTCGCGCTAGTGGGGTTAGATCTCCATGAACTTCTCCTTGGTGTAGGGTCGTGGCACGCAATGTGCGTCGAAGGTGCCGACGCTAGTGCCACGTAGCATGCCCTGAAGATGTTGCGATGCAGGTTTGGGGAGGGGATGCTCCTCCGTTCCGAAGACGCTGCGCGTTGCAGTTTCGAGCTCCATGTTGGACATTCCTTCTTCAGGCGGTGCTTCCCGCTCTGCTTCGGCGATGGCGGCAAGGCCACGGCCGGCAATCGCGCTTGTTGAGGCTGTGGGCGTATGGCAATCCCTGCAGTTGCCATCAGGGTCGGGGTCGTGCAGCGCCAGCTCGCGCGGGTGAGGGTGATGCGGCACCCACAGTCTTGCGACAAGGTGTTTCCAGTCGCGGTGGTGAATGTGGTCGAAGCGTAGGGGAACGAGGTCGATGAGTTCCTGCGAATCGCCGCTGCAGTTGGGAATGTCGAAATCAAATATGTAGACTCCTTTCTCAGAGTGCGCTCTTCCGATCTGCTTGTGCGCTTTGTTCGGTTCGGTGAAGTGGAGCAGGATGTCGCGCGTCTCGGGGTCGGTGCTGAGGTCAACTCCGCAGTCCATGAGTTGCGCCGCCGAGAGAAGATTAAAGCGCAGGTTCTGCACAATCAGCACGTCGTTCAGCGTGATGTGCGTCCTGCTCCCTCGAGCCTTGAGCACCACGATTTTCTTGCGCACTTGCGCGCAGCCGTGTGTTGTTTGCCACGGTGACATAGGTCACGGCGGGAGTGGGGATGGTGTTGGATATGTAACGCTCAGAGCCCACCATATGTTGCCCACAGCAGCTGTCCAAGTACCACGTGTTGTAGCACCTGTTGTCGTTACGTGCGAGCAGCGCCAGACGCGGAGTAACGATGTGTGGTGTGTTGAACTTGAGAAACTGTTCGCACGAGATCCAATCGATCGGAGCCGCCCGCGTATCAGGTACGTGCGGGGGGCTTTCAAGCAGCGGGACTGGGAGATTCCAGTCCTGTTTGTCGTCGTCGCTGAAGTCATGGTATGTGCTGAACGGATTGTTGTTCGAGAACGCTCCGATTGGGTGGCGTGCTAGCTCAGGGGACGGTGAGCGCACGCGGGGACGACGCGATCCGCTTGTCATCGTCATGTTAACCATGACATTGCGGATAGGGGCAGCCTGTGACGGCTGCTGCTGCTGATGCTGAACCGCTGGGTTCAGGTTGGGCGATGGGGGTTGATACCCTTGGGCTGGACGCGTGTCGTTCCGTGTGTCATGTCGGCCAGACAAGTTGCTCGGATTGATCTGACGAGGGCGAGATCGGAATTTGCATCGATCTGCCATGTGCCCGAAGTTTCTGCATATCTTGCAGTAAACGCGCCTCGGCCGACGCTCTTCTGTGTTGTCGGCGTAGAAGGCGAGGCGTTCCTGGTCTCGTCACGGCGTTGGTCGCTACTGGTCCATATCCATTTGTTCGACGAGAAGGGTGGCGCATAGGGCGGCCTCCGAGATGACCCTCTGCTGTCGGAGCAACGCCTTGCAGGGTCGCCACTCTGGGCCAAGCCCTTGAAGTACAATATTTACGAAGATTTCTTCGGAAATGTTGCTTCCCAACTTCGTGATTTGATCGCGTAAGCTCCGACAGCGATTAATGTAGCTGTTGGCCTTCTCCCCTGGGGCCATTTTCGTCTCCAGCAGCTGCTGGGGCAGGCAGCTCGATGAAACCGAATCTTTCGGTTGGTACACGCCGTTCAGGTGGCGCCAAGCGTCGAGGGTTGGAGCAGGTGAAGTCTTGTACGATCGAATGCTCAACTGCTCCGCCGGCGACATGTTCTGCAGGAGGACGCCGTACGCCATCAACGACTTTTTGTAGTGCTGCGCCCGAGCGTCAGCGGTATCCTCAGCGGGTCCCGAGTAGCTCCCGTCGAAAAAGTGGAATATCTGCGCGTTTTGCAGCAACAGCTACAGCTCAAAGCTCCATGTATAGAAGTCTCTGCCGTCAAAACACACACTTGTCTTTATTTTTGATATGCTAGAAAACCTTGATTGCGTAGAGAGAATTGCTTCTTCACTGGGACAGGGAGTTTTGGGAGTTGAGCCATTTGTGTCAAGGGAGAAGGTGTGCGGGGCGGTATTGTGGCCGTTCGAGGCCGGTTGAGAGGGTTGGGAAGAAGTTCCCGCGTCGCCATTCCGCAATGTTTGGAGTCCTTGCTCCAAGCTGGTGAGCCGCTGAAGCAATTGTGCGAGGACGACGGTTCCAATCATCATCGTTTCCTCGCTTGTCGCAGCCTGGTTGGGCTGCGCTTCAGCCGTCAGATTCATCTGACCACTAGATCCTCCAGCCATTCTCACACGCGAGCGAGTGCTGGACGCCACTTTCCGTTCGCCGAGGATTTCGGATGTGGCAGTGAGAAGGATTCCCGAGTCGCTCTCATACCGTGCTACGATCAGAAGTTGATCGTCCATGGGATCACCTCAGGAAGTTTTGCACACAACTGATTGGTAGTGGTGGGCCCTTGACCTCAAAGCAGAGTGAATGTAAAATGCTTGAGATGATTAAAACATGCAGATACAAAGGTATAAATAAGAGTACAAGATGGAATACGAAACGACCTAGCTAGCCATGTACTCTAAGGGGTACATTCCCTTATTGCAGTGAAACTCAACCGTGCAGAATCCTCGCCACTGCTGCTGCCTGATGTTGTCTGCCCTGACGGTCCAGATGCTCCGTAACCGTACGTCCCTTCGCGTCACTTCCGCCTTTTCGTCTTCAGCCTCTGTATTGCATACTTTAATTGTTGCGGTTAGGGGTGCACAATAATACTTCATCTTTTACTATTCGTAACACAGCCCATGCTCGTCTGACCCTTTCGTTCCACAACTGTCCTTCATTCCCGTTACTCTGTCTTCTTCTTTCTCCGAGAAAGAAAGGGAGTCCCAGTCAGGGCTTCGTTTTGGATTTGGCAAACCCACGATTGGCAGTGTAGCATTTTTAAAATCCCTTCTGAGCAGTGTGTACTTTTTCATTACACTGATAGAGCAGGGTAACATCCAATGTTGAAAAAATTACCCTGCATCATCAGTGTGGGTTATTTCCGTACACTGATAGCTGTTCGCTTAGTCTTATAATATTACTCTCACACCTTAAGACATATAAATTTTAGTCATTCAATGACATGCATGCCCGTCCTCGCTATCAGACGACTCCACTATTGCCTTGCCCTTTCCTGCATAGGGCGTGTGCGGGGCTGGTGTTTTCGCGGGTCTTCTCTTCTTTTGCTTCCGCCAGATCTCCACCAGCCTCGTAGTCCAGCATGTTGAGAGTCATCAGCTCGGATAGACGGGCGTCTCCGAGCGACGTGCGCATCCAGCTCTTGTTGACATTTTGACGGCTGAATCCGCGCTCGCACTCCACGGTGCTTAGTGGAATCACTGCAAGCGCCTCCCACATCGACACCAGGTTTGGGTAGCTGCGTGGCCAGTCCTTGGTCTTCATCATCTTGGCAATCCCTTGGTAGAAGTCTGCATCCTTGTAGTGGCGCGACATGACGTGGCAGAAGCTTGTGAGTTCGAGCTCCGCTGCACGGTGGTTGAAGCCTGCCACGTAAACATAGAACAAAAGCATTTTCTCCATCAGCTGTGACCAACATGGAACCAACAAACATCACATCCAACTATGAAACATGAGCAACAACACACCTGGCAGCCTGTTCTTGAAGACACGTGCATTGGAATCCAGCCACTGCACCACCCGTCGTTCCTGTTTCTTTGTCGCATCTGGCCACGACTCCACCTTGTACAACTTGCTGCCCTCCATGTCCTTCAGGCTGTACATGCGGGTGTGAAGATTTGTCGCCACCTCCAGCGCAAACACCTTGCATAGCTTGATGCAATCGGCCATCGATCCGCCGTACTTGTGTCCCGGAAGCGGCTCGCCCTCCGCATCCACGCCGTCCACTTTGATATTTCGTTTCCCGTTTGCCATCCGTGCGATGAATGGCGACAGCAGCTTGCTGACTCCCCCTCCGAAACCTTTGTCGTATTCCACGTAGCGCAGCCTGATGCAGCCAATCGTGTGGTCCACCTCGTGGTGCACGAGCGTGATGTCAACCTGAGATTGAGGCGGGAACAACAACAGGAAGGTTGCGTTAAGAGAATTGTCATGAGTGCCAATTTGAAAATACACTAATCATCAACACTGAACGTATCACTTACTTTCCGTCGTTGGAAAAACCGGTTGAGGGCGTTGATCTCCGCGAGAAGATCCGCCAAGAAGTAGAGGCAGAAGTGAAACTTCAGCGACTGAACAACAGCGACCATCTTGTGGTTGTACTCAAGGAAAACCACGACCGCTGCCCCAAGGACCCTGCACAGCCGCTGCACGGCATCTCCACGCGACATCCATCTCACGTCGAATAGCCCCTGGTGCTCCAGGCTTGTCTTGTGGATTTCTTGCTGCAGCTCCTTGAAGCGTTCATGCCTGACGGACGACTTCGTGACAATGTCTCCAAGCGCACGGATTGCAGTGTCGACGATGTCAAGGTCTTTGAACTCCAGCGCCGACTCCTTCACCGCAAGAACTTCTATGCACAGCAACACACATAGTTGTTAGGACACTTGTAATATTCAGATAGAACTGCATGTGATAGAATGTGAACACTACATACCTGTGAGCGATGCAATGCGTGCCGACGAGGTGTGGGATGCGCTGACGAAGGCGCACCACGAGGCCCCGCTCGGTGCCAATCATCACACCCGCGCCGTCGGTGCTGATGGCGACGATCCTCTGCAGATCCAGGCCGATGCTCTCTAGATGGCTTAGCAAGACAGTGAAGATTGAAGCAGCGTCACACTTGTGAACGGTTGGCAGCGCTAGAAACAGCGTCACACCACGAGATATTTCCCGCGCTATCTGTCTGTGCTCTCGTCACAGCTGATGCCGATCCAACATGACGCGCGGATGTACATCATCTGTTGCTGCTGCTGAAAAGTGCACATCACCTTCACCATCTCCTTGAAACCAC